ATTGCCAAGGAAGGGAGGAGGTGGCGGCGGTACCTGCAATGAGAGAGGTAAGGGGAAATGGACAGGGGGGGGAAGGTGTGGGTCGGGGTGAGGAGGAGGAACGAAGAGAGGTGTGAGTAAGGGAGGCAGGAACTGGAGGGGATGGCGGTGGAGGGCCAGACCTTGGTGGGGATTCAGACTGGGACCCATTCCAAGGTACAAAAGTGTGTGGGAGGGGAGGGGAGGGGGTAGGAGGTAGGGGGGAAAGGGCTAAGGAAGATGGTGGGCTGTCATGTTGCTGTGGGTGTTGTGCCTGCTGAGTTCATGGCTGGGGGGACCCCCCCTGTGGTGGGGCCCGCGGTCGAGGGGGCTGCAACTGTGGAGGACTTGGCTGAGGGCGCTCTTCCGGCAGTGGAGGTGGAAGTCTTCGAAGGCGGAGTCCAAGCCGCTGGGCCTCCCTGGCAGTTTGTCGGCGGTGTGCGGCCTTATGGTTCTTCAGCCCAATTTTGGATGGAAATGCCTCGTGGCAGCCTTCGTTTTCGCACCTAAACTGCAGGCGTTGTTCGTGCTGTAGTTCAGGGGGCTCCATTCTCAGTTGTCTATTCCTGGGACATCTATATAAGGTTGGACGACTGCCCAGGACGATGTTACATCCTGCACAAACATATGAGTGCGAAAGAATGATCACCTCGTGGGTGGCCAGGGAAGTGCTAATGATCACCTCGTGGGTGGCCAGGGAAGTGCTACCCGAGGCACCTGTTGTCCATCCTCAATGGTGAAAATTTGGACACTGGGAAATTCCTGGGGCATCCTGTTGGGTTCCAGTTAATGCCAGAAAGAAGTTTACTGTATGGGTGAACACTGCTTCATATTGTAATTTGATTAGATTGAGTTTTTTTTTCTCCCCAAGGGGAGTGGACCAATCCCGGAGGTACTGCAATACCGGGCCGATCCGCGGCAAAGGTGGAGCAAGCCCCTAGCACTTCGCCATGATCCAAAAATCAGTTTAATATCGAAGATCCCACATGGGGATCGTATCAGATATTAAGCTGATAAGAACAGATTTTATTTTCGAAAAATGCTACAATGGGTTTTACATCATGTTCATAATAATAACTAATTGATACAATGCAAAGCAGCACTCAGTGGTGTCTGCACTATTCTATTCTACTGTAATATGTCCTAAACATCAAGTTACAAGCTTCTTGATGTTTACAAATTTTACAATGTTGTTAATATGCCTAGCACTGTTTTATGTTCAGTGTATATCATCCTTGACCATTTTTTGTGTCGCTCACACACAGCCTTCGGAAGAGTATTTGGTATTTTTCGTGAGCAGCGTTTCATCGTCTGTCGTTCGCCGGGTCCGGTCGTAGCTCCCTTGTGAACCGACAATGAAGGCCTCAACTGGTAACCGGTGGTTAGTTTCTGCCTTAATTCAGCTGCAAGTTCGGCATACTTCTTCTTCTTTCGCATCTTGCTTCGGTGAATGCCTCTGGTCTTTTCTGAAGGGGCATGTGACATCTATCATCAGTTGCATCTCCATCCTTCGTGATTGATTAGGTCTGGGTCGTCCTGTGTCAGCGGCGCCATGACTCGCTGAGTTCTCGGAGATGAGTTCTCCCCAACCTCGCACCTGGGCGGCCCTTCTTGATTCCTCGCCACAATGCATTGTGTCGCTGGGTAATTGGTGGCCGAGTGTCTCCAACAGTGGTTTAAGACGTGTAGGTAGTGTCTCCAGCTGTGCAGGGGCATCTTCGGCATCGATCGGTCACCGCCCATGTCATAGCGACGTGCGCAATTCAGTCGTAGCATGTTCAGTCAGTGACTCGGTGTAAAATCTCCAGTCGGCGACTCGAAGGTTGTGTACGTTCCTCCCCAGACATGAAGTGGGGAACGATGCTCGTCCCGTGGCCACTACCTGCATCACTTTCCCTTGATTCTGGTTTTGCTTGCAGAGTGACATCCCTGAGAGCATCGGTTGATGGTTCCTGATCGGTGGGGGCGATAATCCCCTGTTGTCTTTTGTCAGTGAGAATCGCACAGGCTAGCCCCAGTGTCCTTGCTGTCACTGTTGTATGAACAGGTAACACCGTCCGTCCAGAGGTTCTCGTTGCCCTAGACAGAGTGTTGGTGTCCACCTGCTCGTCCCATCTCCTGTTTTGACAAGATTGCACATTGCGTCTTACATGTTTGGGTCCTGTTGGTTCTTAGTGCTGCCACTTGCTGGACAGTTCGCTCGGGCAAGGTCCCTGGTGTCTAGGTCCAGTGAGTGAGTAGATTTGAAGGCCGTATCCACCAGGAATATTGTCGGAGCTCATTGCTGCTGAAGGATGCACAGGCCCCGGCTGGGCTGCTGCCATATATGTATTCGAATTAGATGCACGGGGACTGAAGGTTCAGGGTCTTTTTAATCTGCGGTCGCCAGATGCACAGTCAAGGCGCTTCCAATCGGTTTTCCTCAATTGCATGTTCGATGGGCGAAAACTCTGCGGATGGTAGTACAAAGGTCTTCAGGGCGTCCCAAGCGCTGCCAGGGTGCGAGCTTTGCTTCGGTTAGCTCTTTCCCCAGGGTGCTTAATGTAGTCTTCTATGAAGGCTAAGTATGGTAAAGTAGATGGAAAACGACTGGACGCCCTAGGAATTTGTATACGGTCCATCCTAATGGACAAAATATGAGTGTACCACTAATAGGAATGGGTTCGTTCATCATCCTCGTGGGCTGGCTCCGGACATGTGCAGGGAGGGCATTTGGCAGGGTTGATTGTTAGCCGAAGCTCCCCTCATGCTTGTGTTGCGACGTTGATGAGCGCCTGCAGTTGTGTGGATGTCCGAGAGACTAAGAGAGTGATGTAATCGGCCATTGCAAGGCACGGGGTGACTTTCTGCTGGCGTGTTTATGGTCATGCCAGCTGTTGGATTTTTCGCTGGATCAGGATTGCGCGTTACACGATGTTGAACAGTAACCACTAATGGGGCATTCCTTGTCGGACTCCTCGTTGAGTTGGGATTTTCATTAGTTTCTCCTTCATGGTCATGTTTCGGGTTGGAGTTCCCTTGTTATTTCTCCACTGATTATCCTCCTGAACTCCTCCCCGACACATACGGTCAAGGGATAGTTTCTATCAGTTCGAGTCGGAATCGAACCAAAGGCATTGTCGGATGTCTAGTGTGGCTATGCAGAATGTCCGTGTTGCAATGGGGCCTCATCAAGGTAGTGTTGGAGAATAATTGTTCGTTCTACTAACCGTCACTGGGGCATAAGCCTTTCTAGTGCTGGGCACAGTAGTCATTGTAGTAACCCTTGTCTGAGGCGGGCAGCTAAACATCCCTGTGTAGAGGTTTGTAGGATTGTTCTGCCACAGGGCAACTGGTACTCCAGTTGGTTATCTCCATGTAGGTCTCCACTCTTGGGGACTCAGTATAGTGCGTGAGGACTTCCAGTCTCTGGGGATGCGGCCCTCAGTAGACAGATGTTAAAGATAGTTGTTATAACGGCGACCTCCTGGGTCTGACAAGTCGCCAGTTCCTGTAGGTAATGCGGTCAATCACCTGGGGCAGTATTTTCAGCCTTAGCGAGCCGTGTTGTTATTCCTTATCAGTAATGGGGCGAGTAGAATGGGTGGGGTCTTTCTCCGTTGGATAGGTATTGCCTCCACCAGTGGCTGGGTTCGTCTAGGGGGTCCACATACTTACTCTTCATGGATACGGGGATGTGCTGCCTCTATCCTTTACTTAGGTATGCTGCAACGACTCTGGCCCCTCGCCAGTAGTATGAACGCACTGCTCTTCTTCTATTAATCTTGTTAGGCGCTGTATGGCATTGCAGTCGTTAAGATCAACTTGTTCCGGCGGGTAGTGGGCAGTTATGTCGTTGGGTTGGATGGAGTTGGCCCGCTGTATTTTCCTCAGTCACCTCCCGTTGTTAGCTCGACAAATTGTCCAGTCAGGGTTGTGTAGTTCATCAGCAGGGACCTTGGAAGGGCTCAGAATCCACTCCTCCAGCCGCGTGTCTTGTAGCAGCCAGTCCACTGGCTTGTATCCTGATGGTCCACTCCTGGCAGCTGAGAGTGGTCAGTTGACAGCGTCACTGGAGAGGCGGGTCTCATCTGCCAAGGAAGGGTGAGTGTGGCGGCGGTTACCTGGCAATGTGAGAGGTAAGGGGGAAATGGACAGGAGGGGGGGAGAAGGTGTGGGGTCGGGGTGGTGAGGAGGAGGAACGAAGGAGAGGTTGTGTGTAAGGGAGGCAGGAAAACGGACCGGGGCTGGCGGTGGGAGGCCAGACCTTGGGGGGATTCAGACGGGGACCCATTCCAAGGTACAAAGTGTGTGGGAGGGGAGGTGAGGGGGTAGGAGGTAGGGGGGGGAAAGGGCTAAGGATGATGGTGGGCTGTCTTGTTAGCATGTGGGTGTTGTGCCTGCTGTCGTTCATGGCTGGGGGGACCCCCCTCGTGGTGGGGCCGCGGTCGAGGGGGCTGCAACTGTGAGGGGACTTGCTGTAGGGCGCTCTTCGGCAGTGGAGGTGGAAGTCTTCGAAGGCGGAAAGTCCAAGCCGCTGGGCCTCCTGGCAGTTTGTCGGCGGACCTGTGCGGCCTTATGGTTCTTCAGCCCAATTCTTGGATGAATTGTCGTGGCTGCCTTCGGTTTGCACCTAATCTGCAGGCGTTGTTCGTGCTGTAGATTCAGGGGCTCCATTCTCAGTTGTCTATTCCTGGGACTATATATAAGGTTTGGACGACTGCCCAGGACGATGTTACATCCTGCACAACACATATGAGTGCGAAAGAATGATTCACTCGTGGGTGGCCAGGGAAGTGCTTAATGATCACCTCGTGGGTGGCCAGGGATGTGCTACCCGAGTAACCTGTTGTCATCCTCAATTGTGGAAATTTGGACACTGGGAAATTCCTGGGGGCATCCTGTTGGGTTACGTTCATGCCAGAAAGAAGTTTACTGTATGGGTGAAACACTGCTTCATATTGTGTAATTTGATTAGATTGAGTTTTTTTTTCTCCCCAAGGGGGAGTTGGACCAATCCCGGAGGTACTGCAATACAGGGCCCGATCCGCGGCAAAGGTGGAGCAAAGCCCTAGCACTTCGCCATGATCAAAAATCAGTTTAATATTGAAGATCCCACATGGGGATCGTATCAGATATAAGCTGATAAGAAACAGATTATATTTTCGAAAAAATGCTACAATGGGTTTTACATCATGTTCTTAATTATTATAATTGATTACAATGTCAAAGCAGCACTCAGTGGTGTCTGCTCTTTTCTATTCTACTGTAATATGGCACTAAACATAAGTTTCAAGGCGTCTTGATGTTACAAATTTACAAAGTTGTGAATAATGCCATAGCTCCCTGTTATTTGTGCAGTGTATTTCATCCTTGACCATTTTTATGGCGTTCGTCACACACTGGCTTCAGGAAGAGTTTTTGGCTATTTTCGTGAGGCCAGGCGTTTCATCAGTCTGTCCGTTCGCGGGTCGTAGCTCCCTAGTGAACCGACAATGGAAGGCCTCAACTCGTTACCCGGCTGGTGTTCTGCCTTAATTCAGCTGCATAGTTCGGCCATAATTCTCTCTTTCCGCAATCTTGCTCGGTGGAATGCCTCTGGTCCATTCCGAAGGGGCATGTGACATCTTATCATCAGTGCATCTCCATCCTTCGTGATGAGTAGGTCTGGTCGTCATGTGTCTAGCGCGCCTGCAACACGCTGGTTCTCGGAGATGAGTCTCCACCTCGCCCCACTGGGCGGCCTTCTTGATACCTCGACCACCAATGCATTGTGTCGCTTCGGGTTCAGGGTGGCGAGTGTCTCCACAGTGGTTCAAGGACGTGTTGGTAGTAAATTGTCTCCAGATGTGCAGGGCATTCTTCACGGCATCGTCGGTCACCGCCCCTGTCGGTTGCGCGTGCGCCATTCAGTGGTTGCTGTTCAGATAACTGTCGTGTGTATATATCTACCAGGCGGCGTAGGTTGGGTATGTTCCCTCCCTCATGAAGTGCGACGATGCTCGTTTTTTGTCCCCCCGTGCCACTACTGCATCACTTGCCCTTGTATGGTTTTGCTGCAGAGTGCACATCCCTGGAACATCGGTGATGGTTCCTGGATGGGTGCGGGCGTCTATCCACCTGTGTCTTTGTCCTAGTGAAGTATCGCCACATGCTAGCCACGTGTCTGCAGTCACTGTTGTATGACCAGGTAACACCCATCCGTCCAGAGGCATCTCGTGCCTTAGACCAGAGTGTTTGGTGTCCACCTGTCTCGTCCCATCTCCTGTTTTGACAAGAATGCACATGCGTCTTCCCATGTTTGGGTCCTGTTGGGTTCTTAGTGCTGGCACTTGCTGACAGTCGCTCCGGGCAATGTCCTGGTGTATAGGTCCAGTAGGTGAGGAGTTTGAAGGCCGTATCCACAGGAATTATGTCGGAGTCTTCTCGCTGCAGAAGGGATGCCACAGGCCCGGCCTGGCTGCTGCCATATATGTATTCGTTAGATGCCACGGGGCTTGGCTGAGGTACAGGGTTTTTTATTCAGCGGTCGCAGTGAACAGTCAAGGCGCGTCAATCGGTTTTTCCTCAATGCCATGTTCGCATGGCGAACACAGCGGATCGTAGTACAAATGTCTGCAGGGGTCCAAGCGCGTTGCCAGGGTTGCGAAGCTTGTCTCGAAGTATGGCTCTTCCCCTGGTGTTGATGTTGTCTTCTATGTTGCTATGTCTAGTAGTAGCTGGAAACCGACAGGACGCCCTAGGAATTTTGTATCTGTCCATCCTCATGCGACAAATATCTGTGTGTCCCCTACAAGGGAATGGGGTTTCGTCTCATCCCTGTGGGCTCGGCTCGGACAGGTGAGGAGGTGCATTTGGCAGGTGTGTTGGTTAGCCGAAGACCTCCACATGCTTGTTTGTTGCGACGTTGATGAGCGTCTGCTGTTGTGCTGGTTGTCCGAGCTAAGAGAGTGATGTCATAGGTCATATGCAGGGCACGGGTGCTTCTGTGGGTGTTTATGGTCATGCAGCTGTTATGATTTTTCGCTAGGATTGCCACGATACCGATGTTGAACAGTAGGCCCACTTATGGGGCATCTTGTCGGATCCTCGGTGAGTTGGGATATCATTAGTTTCCTCCTTCATTGGTCATGATGCGGGGTGTGAGTTCCCTTGTAGCATTACTCCACGATTATACTCCTGAACTCCTCCCGACACCCATACGGTCAAGGGATAGTTCTATCAGTTCAGTCGGAATCGAACCAAAGGCATTAGTGGATGTCTAGTGTGGCTATGACTGATGTCCGTGTTGCCACTGCGGGCCGCATTCAAGGTAGTGTTCGGAGAATATAATTGTGTTCTTTTTTTACTTACACCGTCACTGGGCATAAAGCCTTTCTGTTATGCTGGCCACAGTACGTCATTGTCAGTAACCCATTGTCCTGAGGCGGGAGCTAAACATCCCGTGTGAGTTGTAGAATGTTCTGCACAGGGCAAACTGGTTCTCCAGTTGGTTATCTCCTGTAGGTCTCCACTCTTGGGATCAGTATATGCGTGAGGACTTCCAGTCGTCTGGGATTGCGGCCCTCCGTAAGACAGATGTTAAAGTTTGTTGTTATAAGACGCGACCTCCTGGGTCTGCAAGTCGCCAGTTCCTGTAGTAATGCGGTCATCACTGGGGCAGTATTTTCAGCCTCTAGCGAGCCGTGTTGTTATTTCCTTCTCTGTAAATGGGGTTCGAGTCGAAGGGTGGTCTTTCTTCCGTTGGGATAGGAATGCCTCCACCAGTGCTTGTTCGTCTTGGGGGTCCACAGTACACTCCTGGATCCGGCGGAAGTGTGCCTCTATCCTTTCCTTAGGTATGCTGCAAGTCTGCCTCGCCCGTAGTTATAACCGCACTGCTCTTCTTCTATTAATCTTGGATAGGCGCTGTATGGCCTTGCAGTCGTTAACCCATCAATTGTGCCCCGGCGGGTAGGGGAGTTAGTTATTTCGTTGGGTTGGAATGGATCGTTGGCCCGCTGTATTTCTCAGTACTCCGTGTTAGCTCGACAAACTTTGTCCCACGTTCAGGGTTGTGTTGTACATAAGGCAAGGGACCTAGGAAGGGCTTCAAGAATCCATCTCCACCGCGTTCGTCTTGCGTCAGCAGTTCACCTGCTTGTATCCTGATGGTCCACTCTGGCTGCCTGAGAGGTGGTCAGTTAACCAGCGTCGCTATGTGGTGAGGCGTGTCTCATCTGACAAGGAAGGGAGAGAGGGGTCGGCGGTTGGTACCTGCAATGAGAAAGAGAGGTAAGGGGAAATGGACAGGAGGGCGGAGAAGGTGTGGTGTCGGGGTGAGGAGGAGGAACGAAAGAGAGGGTGTGAGTAAGGGAGGCAGGAATGGAGGGGAAGGCGGTGGAGGGCCAAGGACCTTGAGTGGGGATTCAGACTGAGGACCATTCCAGGTACAAAAGTGTGTGGGAGGGGAGGGGGAGGGGGTAGGAGGTAGGGGGGAGGCTTAGGAAAGATGGTGGGCTGTCATGTTGCTGTGGGTGTTGTGCCTGCTGAGTTCATGGCTGGGAGGACCCCCCCTGTGTGGGGCCCGCAGTCGAGGGACGGGCTGCCTGCATCTGTGGAGGACTTGGGCTGGGGCGCTCTATGCTACGGCAGTGGAGGTGGAAGTCTTCGAAGGCGGGGTCCCAGCCGCTGGGCCTCCCCTGGCAAGTTTGTCGGCGGTGTGCGGCCTTTGGTTCTTTCAGCCCAATTTGGATGGAAATGCCTCGTGGCAGCTTTCGTTTTCGCACCTAAACTGCAGGCGTTGTTCGTGCTGTAGTTCAGGGGGCCTCCATTCTCAGTTGTTATTCCTGGCGACATTATATAAGGTTGGACGACTGCCCAGGACGATGTTACATCCTGCACAAAACATATGATTGCGAAAGAATGATCACCTGTGGGTGGCAGGAAGGTGCTAATGATCCACCTGTGGGGGGCCAGGAAGTGCTACAGATGCACCTGTTGTCCTCCTCAATGGTGAAATTTGAGACACTGGGAAAGTCCTGGGGCATCCTGTTGGGTTCCAGTTATGACAGGAAAGAAGTTTACTGTATGGGTGAAACATGCTTCATATTGTAATTTGATTAGATTGAGTTTTGTTTCTCCACAGGGGGGTGGACCAATCCCGGAAGGTACTGCAATACCGGGCGATACGCGGCAAAGGTGGAGCAAGCCCCTTGCACCTTCGCCTTGATCAAAATCAGTTTTTAATATCGAGATCCCACATGGGGATAGTATCAGATTTAAGCTGATAGAACAGATTTTATTTTCGAAAATGTACAATGGGGTTTCATATGGTTCATAATAATAACTATTTGATACAATGCAAAGCAGCCACTCAGTGGTGCTGCACTATTCTATTCTACTCTATATGGCCTAAACATCAAGTTAACAAGCTTTCTTGATGTTACAAATTTACAAAAGTTGTTAATACTGCCTTGCACCTGTTTATATGTTCCAGTGTATATCATCCTTGGACCATTTTATGCGTGCGCTCACACACAGCTTAGGAAGAGTTTTTGGTATTTTCGTGAGTGGCCAGGAGTTCATCAGCTCTGTCGTTCGCCCTGGCGGTCGTAGCTCCCTACGTGAACGACAATGAAGGCCTCAACTGTTACCGGGTGGTTAGTTCTGCCTTCAATTCGCTCAAAGTTCCGGCATACTTCTCTTCTATTCCGCAATCTTGCTTCGGTGAATGCTCTGGTCCATTCTCGAAGGGGCATGTGACTTCTATCATCAGTGCATCTCCATCTTCGTGATGATTAGGTCTGGTCGTCCTGTGACTAGCGCGCCTGCAACACGCTGGTTCTCCGGAGATGAGTCTCCACCTCGCCCCTGGGCTGGCCTTCTTGATCCTCGCCACCAATGCATGTTGTCGCTGGTCATGGTGGACGTGTGTTCTCCACAGTGGTTAAGGAGTGTGGTTAGTGTCTCCAGCTGTGCAGGGCATCTTCGCTTCGTCGTTCACCGCCCCTGTCGTAGGACGTGCGCCATTCGTGGTAGCATGTTCAGTCGTGCTCGGTGATAAATCCTCCATTCGGCGAAGGTTGTGTATGTTATCCCTCCCTCTGAAGTCGGACGATGCTCGTTCCCGTGCCACTACCTGCATCCACTTTCCTTGATTGGTTTTGCGTGCAGAGTGGAATCCCTGGAGCCATCGGTGATGGTTCC